GGTGTTTGCGAGAGCCACTTGGAGGCACCAATCAGAAGTGACGAGCCGTAGCATCTGGAGAAGTGCAACGAATTTGCGAACTTCTGGCTTTTCAAGGTAAGAAGCATCAATTTAGAAACTGTATTTAATTTGTTTCCACAGTTTACTTTCAACATCTGATACGTACATTTCTCTACAGAGTGTGTATAATGGGACGCAGTGTTATTTTTGTGGTTACCTACGAATTGTACTTGAAACATGAATCGAAAGATGCCCTAATAGATCCCCTTGAAAGGACCCTTTCATATGTCCAAAATATGAATCGTTTCATAATTAATTTCGATTCGCTACAGGCCGAACAGCCTAATTCGTTACATGTGAAGAACAGCTCATCAATTAAGTTATCATTTATTTGCTTGCAGTAATTTATTTGTCCTGGTTGTGTCATAATCTTGCTTCTACACTAATTCCTTCTACAGAAAGCAAAAATAAATTGACACTCATACACAGTTTCATTATAATGCAAATACAAATCTGCAGTCATAAAATTATTCATATTACAGAGATTCAGAGATTATTTTCCTTTGCGTTTCGTTAATTATCAGTCGTAACAAAATATTATTTCAACTAAATCTACATTCTTAATGAACCAAAACAATATGTTTCCTGAAACTTTTAGATGGTAAAATTATGTTGGTTGGTTAGTGGTCATTTCCAGTTAATGAATTTTGGTCCTTCTGGGATAATATTTATGAATTCGTATTGTTATAACAGTTACTATGACAATACTGACAATGAATATTTGGTCTCATGTGGCAGAATTTATGACTGTGTGTGTTTACTGCTTTAAATTTTCCCGTTATTCTTATACAAAACTAATAATTGATAACAGCATTTCGTGAACACCAGACAGGTTTATACTTTATTTGCACACCGCCCTCTGACCCCTTTTGAAGAGAGGTGGAACTTGAGGAAATGTCTTTAGAAACTTTGTATAAAGACGGGTGTTTGGTACGCGATAGACCGGCGTGCAGGACAAGGTGACGTAATTTTGCCCTTAAATCAAATGCACCTCTTCTATTTCACAAATGTTTTTTTTTTTTTGTGTAGGTTGCAGAGGACTTCTTTGCGAAGACGCACGTACGTACTAGCGACAGGAAGTCGACCTGACTACTCAGAAGCTTACTTGAAGTTATGGCTCCGGGGAAATACGTTATGGTTAGTATAGAGCATGCTCCATACGAGCTTCCTGCGCTGTGTTTTTCCAAATTTTAATCAGGCAGATCGGTTTATGAACAGAAGTTTCCTTCAATGTGTGAACGACTACTGATGGTGAGTAGTTGAAATTGCAATGGAATCATAAATTGGATTGATGAATTCAGTTCTACTAACATATATTATTATTAAATGTTCTGTCTTACGACAGGTCCATTGCTCTGCCCAAAAAGAGCTCTCCAGTTGTCCCTATTCTCGGCTTCTCGCTTTAATTCCTGGAACGTCATCTTCTTTCCTTGTTTAAGGTCGTTGGTTAGCTGTATCAATCTTCTTCCTAGTCCTACAGGAAACATTTTTAGTCGACTTAAATTGCAGAGGTTATTTACAATTGTCAAAATACCGAACATGTTTAAACACAAAATTTATTTACAGCTGAACTTAAAACTTGGAGTATTATTTGTTTAAGCAGTCGCATTTACTTAATAACAGGTGGGATGGTAACAATCTACCGCCATTTCTTGTTTTAAAATGAATGTCTTGGAGAGTCAGGCAGCAACATGAAAAATTATTAAAATCGTCTCAGTTGCAATACAAGAATAAATATCAAGATGTGTTATACTTAAACAGAATTACATTTCGCTAAGAACACGAATAAGACCAGTAAACAAATGTACAAAGATATTTATTACGGGTGACATGGAACAACAACAGCACGTAAACGGAAGACAAACTAACTGAATTTCGGGGAACAGCTGAATGACCAAAAGCTTCTTAACAAGTACCCTCTTCCGTGAAGTTAGCACTGTAGAAAACAAATCGATAACTTAAAAAGCGCTGCTATCAGCACTCGGGTATTGTTTTTATCAGAGGTTTGGCAAACCTAGCCTTTTCGAAAAGTGAACTGCACAGTGAAAACTTTTCGAAAACTCTTGGGTGGACCGTTTGAGAACACTCGTTGCGATGCGAATAATAATGGCAATGACTTCGATAAAAGTACAAATGCTACTGCTGAAATTCGTTATCACAAGTGGAAGACGTCGGTCAGAAGCGTGGCTGCATACCACAGAATTAATTGTTTTATTCCTCTTTAAGATATGGAATCTAATTATAAACGAAGTTTCGTTGTGTTAGTTTTACAGACATACCTAAACGCCCTAACGCTCTGACGCGACTTTCATAAGCGAGACAGCAATCGAAAGTGTGGAAAAGATTCGAGAAGTCTTCCTGTGAAAAGAAAGTGTAGCAAGACATTTGTTTAAAAAACTGTTATGGGTTTGGGCAGGCATTGAATGGGTAGTTCTAATATGACTTAAAGATTTCTGTCTTCTGGGTTGTTGCGCTGTGTAGTCTGGTCGATCTTTACCAACGTTTCAGAGGTCATACTGCCTCCGTCATCAGAGTATGGAGATTTCTGTCTTCTGGGTTGTTGCCCTGATGACGGAGGCAGTATGACCTCTGAAACGTTGCTTAACATCGGCCAGACTACACAGCGCAACAACCCAGTAGACAGAAATCTCCATACTCACCGCTGTGAAAACCTCAAATCTAACATGACTTGTCTTTGCGATGAGAGTAAAAAAATAAAATAAATATATAAAGTCTCACGTTGCTCCATGTCGCCGTTTCTCAAGGTAAGAAGAACAAGGTACTATTTTGTAATGAGTTATGACGCTTGAGTCTTAAAGTAAATATTTTATTAGTGTTTTTATAAGCTGACGAAAATTTGGCTACATAGTTAGAAGTATAAAATTTCACGATAAAATACACTTTTCCTCGTCATGGTATCATGTCCGCGCGTGTGTGTTTGTAAATTTATGTGAGTTCAGATAAGGCCGCTGTTACCTTAATAATCTCAAGACTCTTCTCTTTAGAAAGAAATGACGACGAACAGTTATGACTACAATGTGAAGTTCAGAGCGATTATATCAAACAAAGAAACAATGAAATAAAAGACCTAAGACTATTCAGGCTGGTTCCGAAAGATATAATCGTACTCGTTTGTGTTGTGTATTTATGTGCCATCGTAAGGTAGGCCGCACACCGGCATGCGTCAAGACATGTAACATTCAAGGCACGATGTCTACGACATGACGCAAAGAAAGGAGCACAGTTGAAACGAATGAGATTATGAAAACCGCCGCACACCGGTCTGAGTCATGATTCTGACGTCAGCTTCATGCTGCAGACACGTGCAGCGAGACTCTGGCATGTTCCTTTTCCGAGCGCCAGGACTGAGACATCAGTACTCAAGTAACAGCATCAGTGTACGTTATCGACATGAGTGAAGAGTAAACAAATAGTAAGATAGCGAAATTAAACGAGAAGCTGAGAATAGGGAAAACTGGCAAACTCTTTTTGGGCAGAAGAATGGACCTGTCGTCAGACAGAACACTAAATAATAAATAACTAATACGATTATTCGACCCCGGGTCACTCAAACAAGGAGGAGGTTGATAAAGCTTGGCATTCTGTTTCAAAAGAAGTAAACGTAGATGATAAGTGCACTGATTAATTTTATTTTAATGAGGTAATGACTGAATTAACTATTATACACATTGAGCATAAGCTCGTTACGTACAAGTCTGCTCTCACTCACACATAAAACTGGACGACGTCATGTCATCAACTAGAGAAGATGTGATAAGACGCAGACACGTGCTGCTTCGGTGTGCGGACTCAAGTCTGAATCACGAATGAAGCAAGAATGAGTCTTTTGTCTCATGTCTTGATGCTTGTCTTGACACAGTTGGTGTACGGCCGCCCCAATAAAACTTACCGAATATATTGAGCTGTGAAAGAAGATTGCTTTTATGCCACATTTAAGGCATCTTCTAAGTTCATGAGACAGAATTATCACTAGCTTTGCTCAAGTGCATGAATGTGGACATGCCATCATTCTTTGTCATGCGGTTTCTGTATTCACTTCAGACTCAGTACATTTTTAAACGTTTAATTTAGTTCATATATATAGTGTCCGTAGAATAAAGCCGTAAAATTTTAAATATTTAGTGAACGCAACAAAACGGATTCGCAAAGACAAACCGCGAATTACAAACAACAGTGTGCATTTTTTTATTTATTCTCGGAGCAATACTTTATCATGAGATCCGATTTTATGCATGTTTGGATGTGTGCCGAGTCACATCAAGTATAAAACAGCTGTATCATTTGTGGATTAAATGATTCATTGCCGTGCCTACAAGGGACCGCTACTCGTTTATGTAATTAGCCAAATGAACGAAGTTCACACACTCTCACCCTATTTCTTTTTCATTCCATTCCACTATTATCCTGTTCATGTCTTACTTTATTCAAGAAATACATAATTTTGAAATGCTGATCGATTCTTAAAGGTTATGTCGATGGTGTATTGCAATCTAGATTACATGAGTTTTTGTATATTGTTTGGTATTCTAAAAATACACAAAGCTTCGAAAACCGAATTTGCATATACAAGTGAACAGGAATGAGTCAACTGTCAGACAACGGAATCTAATCTCAGTATTATTCCCCAGCTGTACGTGCTAGTCATGGCGAGTTCAGGGGTCCAGGGTGGCAGTGGACCGGATCAACTGACCCGAGAGGGCGGAGATCTCAACACAGAATGGACACTCATCACCGAGTACCTCAACTCTGGCATCGAGGAAAGTTCAGAGAAGTGCTACATTTTGCAGGATCTGAATGCACGATATATGAACCTCAGTGAACAGTTTAATGACACGTATGACTATGATACCGGTATACAGTCAATACAAGTGACCGAGAATTACTTGGAAATGTTAGAAGAAATTTATGAAAGTTTTGAACACCTGAACAGATCTCTAAACGTGCATAAACCAAGTGCCTCATTGATTCCTACTTTGACTAACAAGTTTCCTTGCAAAAACCACAGTCAAAATTTATTGATGAAAGCGCGAGAAAGCCTCTTTTACCAAAAGATTATTTTAGCGAAGTTAGAAATAACCGTATATTTTCGTGACTACATAGATCCTCCAGTGTATATTGTCATTTTGGTAACGGGTCTTACATGTAACATAATACTGTTACTCATGTTTGCGCAGAAAAAAGAAATACGGACAGCACCAAATATAATGATTTTCAACATTGTGATTGCAGATGTACTGAATCTTACGTTTAATTTACCACTGCAGTATTTCGGTTTCTACTACCCTTCGTACGTGAGACTAAGTGAACCAGTGTGTGTACTGTTCGTCACTCTGCGATGTATGTTCACATCTGCAAGCGCGTTGTCCGTCGTCGCTCTGAGTGCCCAAAGGTTCTGTGCCACTCTTCCGGCGTTCCACAATCTAAAGGCTCGAAGTCGCTCATCCTCCCTCATAATAACCATAGTCTACATCCTTCTCGTTTGGGCTGCAGCATCAAGCATCGTGCTACCAGACACACTGCGCGAGAAAGTCTGTGATGATAATCCTGCCGAGAAGAGTGGCCGAAAGTCGGCCAAAGTGGTGTCTCTTCACGAGTTCGTCGTCTACTGTTTTGCACTTCCCGGCATAATGTTTATTTTCACGTTTCTCACGGCAAGAAGACTGAAGCAGAGCGCCAAAGAGATTCCGGGCGATGTAAGGCATAAGACACATGAAAAAGCTCGTAACAGAGGAGCGAAGGTCGTGACTGCCCTTTGCGTGGTCTTTACTATCAGCTACGTCCCTTTCTTCATGTGGGGGCGAATTGCCACCACTCTTGGATTGGATAGGTTGGAGCTGTCATACAGGGTGCTTGACAACTTAACTTATTATCTCCTGTTTTCAAACCCATGCTTCAATCCATTAGCACTGTATGTGACGAGCCATACGTTCAGAAGATTGTTCAACGGTTATCTTTTTGGATGGTGCCTCAAACGTGGGAAGCAGCAGCGCACAGACTCTCAGATTTCTCTCGACAATACAACGACCCAGTCGTCGCGACAGCAAGAATCAGACGTATGATCGAACTTTGGGCAGAAATATGCATAATCAAAATGCTTCACAACTTATCGGAAGAAGTTCGTTTGAATGAGGCGGCATACAGTATCAGGCATCCATTTCTTTAAATTGCTACCACCGAGATAAGTTCACGGATGGAGTAAAGTGCATGAAATACCAACTCCAATTGCCTCTGTTTGGGAAACTTCTCGCTATTTTCGAAATCTATTTGGATGTTCACAATGTCTCGTGCAGTGAGCTGGCATTCCAAGGGAACCTGGTAGCGGTATAAGTGAGGATTAATGCCAAAGAAGTCAGTTGTACTGCGATCTCTCCAGTCGACTTCTCCGAAACCGACACTTTAATGCTCAGTGAGAGCTAAGCTTTGAGCAGAAAGTGACAGTAGGCCATTAACATCTGCCCATCGTGTATCGCACTGCCTGTTAGGAGGCCTCTGAAGTAGTAGCATATTATTCTAAAATAACTCGTCAAAGGTCTGTGAATCCAACTTGAGACAGATTTTACTTTTACACGGGACTCCGCCTGTATAGTGCATTAATATTTTGGTTTACATAAGGATATGGGTTCATCGTACGGCAATATCTTATCATGTGTAATCCAAAGAAATTGGAAGATTAAGATACTTTACCTCAAAAGCAGTGAAATTAGTTTCAGGCTATTACATCATGACGGCGTTAGTTTATCGAAAACAGTAACGCTAAGGAGTGTAATTTCAGCAGGTTTCGACAATTCTTCATCCAGATATGTGAAGAGTAAGTGAGGAAGACTTGTGATGCGAACTCCTGTGATAAATCATGGGCATCAATATGCCTTAGGCATTGTTATCGAGTTACAAACGAATTTTTCAGTCAGTTCCATTTAACAACGTGTATCAACACGCTATAGCTCTGATTTATTGTGACACTGCTATTACAGAATACTGTTTTGTCGAGGCCTCCATTTGAATTCAGAATAAAATAAGACTGAGTTTAATTAATAACAAATGTACACTTGCAGAAATCAAATAAGAAAAAATGCCCAATCGCCTTACATGAACGTGTGCAGGGTTTCTACTTCAAAATCAGGCATGTTTCATTCAAGGCAAATGCATTTTGCCATACAAATCATTTCACACAATACATGGAAACTTCCCACGCTCCAACATTCTATTTTCAAGACCTAATTACTTTTGAGATGGGAATGTTGGTTTTCTGGGTTGTAACACCATGTGGACTTTCAGGGAGGTACAAATATTTCGGAGAAACGTACTGTCTCCATCTTCAGGGGTGAAGATGGAGATAGTATGCATATCCGAAACGCTGGAATCTACTTACAAGTCCAAAAGTTTCTGCAACCTAGAAGACCAGCTTCGACATCCTCGGATCCGTGAGAACCTTCAATTTCATATTAACGATGCCTTTTTCATACGACAAAAGAAAATATAATCACAAATAGGTCTTCATAATTACAAGACCATACCGATGAGAAGTGCAGAAGGTAAAGCTGTCCCCGGTGTCTCACTAAGCATCATGTCATAGGCGTATAAGAGTGTGGACGTATGACTCCAAACATTCGTAACCTCGGCACTAGACGGGGGTGAGTGGTCAGCTTCGTGTACCGGTCGCTTTAACCCAAGGTAGTACCCTATTTTAAGGGTTTTGTAAACGATTCAAACAAAAGTAATTCAGAAGGACGGGACCATCAAAGATATAAATAACCTCCTAAACCGACCCAGAACCTGCAAAACCTCCATCAATATAAGTATCTTTTGAAGCTAGCAACATAATAATTAAGAAAGAAACAACGACGAGCAAAAGTAATTTTACAATTTGTTATACTTGACATTCCTGACACTTGTCTACCACATCGAGGTGTTTAATCAAAATATTCGGATTACGCACGGTAGGCTGCTCGTATAACGAGGCCTAGAAGCCAACGTTCGACAGACCCGCTTGTCGTTGCTTTCCCTCAATATGGAAGCTACTTGAATTAGAAGTTGTTATATGAAGCCGACTGTCTTCATCTAGAAGTTGTTAAATATTCATTAAATAAATTGTAACTGTAATTTTACTCAAGTGCTTTGCTGGTATGTATGTACTACCAGCCTATAAGGAAATACGAAAACTAATATTGTAAGAATATTTGTATAATGACAGTGCATGAAGAATGTTTTCTAAGAAGAATCTGAGTTTGCCGAATACTATTTATATGCAAACTACTTTCATGCTTTTAACATATTTATTTTTTGTAGTTATAATGATGTTTATCTAGTTTAATTATGTTTTTATGTGAAAGACGTTATCTGTAAGAAGGACATCAGTAAGGAATTATATATTATACTGTATTACTGAATACAGTGTATTTTTCAACTTTAAGTAGAACAAGAAAATAAATGGTTCAAGAGTTGTAATTAATATAATAATCAATTTGTGGGACAAGGATTTTAAGTTTGCTTATAATGGGAATCATTGAATTGAACTGGCTCAAAATAATGCTCAGTGTTCAGTATCAACGGTTTTGATTTTCGAATCCTATTAAGAGATTTAACTTATCCAGACTTCATTATGGCATAGCACAAAATGCAACTGTTAAACCGCCACGACACATTCTTCTGATTGTTGATAGTAAAATTTCCTCCGCTGTCGTGTGTTGTCAACAAAAGTGGGGTTGAGTGGTTAGCTCTCCTGCTTCCTACTCGAGAAGTCCCGGATTCAAATCTCGGTCCAGAGACCGGCTAACCTGACAGAATTTATCGTGTTTTTACTCAGTACCTCCAGGCAAATACCGGGATAGTACCTTGAATTAGGTCACTAAAGCTGTCCCCGGTGTCTCACTAAGCATCATGTCATAGGCGTATAAGAGTGTGGACGTATGACTCCAAACATTCGTAACCTCGGCACTAGACGGGGGTGAGTGGTCAGCTTCGTGTACCGGTCGCTTTAACCCAAGGTAGTACCCTATTTTAAGGGTTTTGTAAACGATTCAAACAAAAGTAATTCAGAAGGACGGGACCATCAAAGATATAAATAACCTCCTAAACCGACCCAGAACCTGCAAAACCTCCATCAATATAAGTATCTTTTGAAGCTAGCAACATAATAATTAAGAAAGAAACAACGACGAGCAAAAGTAATTTTACAATTTGTTATACTTGACATTCCTGACACTTGTCTACCACATCGAGGTGTTTAATCAAAATATTCGGATTACGCACGGTAGGCTGCTCGTATAACGAGGCCTAGAAGCCAACGTTCGACAGACCCGCTTGTCGTTGCTTTCCCTCAATATGGAAGCTACTTGAATTAGAAGTTGTTATATGAAGCCGACTGTCTTCATCTAGAAGTTGTTAAATATTCATTAAATAAATTGTAACTGTAATTTTACTCAAGTGCTTTGCTGGTATGTATGTACTACCAGCCTATAAGGAAATACGAAAACTAATATTGTAAGAATATTTGTATAATGACAGTGCATGAAGAATGTTTTCTAAGAAGAATCTGAGTTTGCCGAATACTATTTATATGCAAACTACTTTCATGCTTTTAACATATTTATTTTTTGTAGTTATAATGATGTTTATCTAGTTTAATTATGTTTTTATGTGAAAGACGTTATCTGTAAGAAGGACATCAGTAAGGAATTATATATTATACTGTATTACTGAATACAGTGTATTTTTCAACTTTAAGTAGAACAAGAAAATAAATGGTTCAAGAGTTGTAATTAATATAATAATCAATTTGTGGGACAAGGATTTTAAGTTTGCTTATAATGGGAATCATTGAATTGAACTGGCTCAAAATAATGCTCAGTGTTCAGTATCAACGGTTTTGATTTTCGAATCCTATTAAGAGATTTAACTTATCCAGACTTCATTATGGCATAGCACAAAATGCAACTGTTAAACCGCCACGACACATTCTTCTGATTGTTGATAGTAAAATTTCCTCCGCTGTCGTGTGTTGTCAACAAAAGTGGGGTTGAGTGGTTAGCTCTCCTGCTTCCTACTCGAGAAGTCCCGGATTCAAATCTCGGTCCAGAGACCGGCTAACCTGACAGAATTTATCGTGTTTTTACTCAGTACCTCCAGGCAAATACCGGGATAGTACCTTGAATTAGGTCACGACAGTTTCCTTCCACATCCTTTCCAATTCATTACTTGCTTCCTCATCAAACGCTTTATAATCTAGATATTGAAAGCACCGTCAAATAAGCTATAAATAAATAAATAAACACATTAACATGACATGGCCATTAAAATATTGACGGTTTTACGAAAACAACTCATTTTCTAAAATCCACAATCTTCTCTTTTAACTACATGAAGTAATCTAATCCTTCCTGAGAAACTAATGGCCGCTCAGTTATCAATTGATTACTCTTTACGGAACTCGAAGTTCGTTACTGTGTTCACAAAAGCTTAAAATTAACCGTGTCCTCGGTCAGACGAATCTAGTCCGGTGTGCCGCCACGAGATGTCAGGTGCGTCACGAATTTTTATGAGAAATTGTATCTTATATTTGCACGTTATAGTTAAAGGGAGGCAAAATCTTCTATTCCATAATTAGAATCCGTAACACACACACACAGGTTAGGTTCATCACCGATAATTTTATCCAACATGTGTTCCAATTTTCTCACATGCCTACGCTCACAGAAAAAGTATTTTTTGCAGTTCCATATTTACAGCCAAGTATAGTTTCGTGCGCCCTTTTTGCCTTTAACAGGCTTGAGTCGTGAACGAAGAAAGGTGGAGGAATACTGATCTAGTCCACAATCTCATAAGTTACTTTTTAATAAATAAATTTTAACATTATACTCCAATATACGCGTAGGTTTCTAACTGGAATCTTCCCTTTGGGTTTTCTAACTAAATTTCTACTTCGGTTTATACAAAAGCATTTTCATTTCTCCCACATGTGTTACATACCTCGTCCACTTTATTCTCTTTTATTTTTCGCCCTAGTAATATTTGGTGAAAAGTAAAATAATTGAAGTTCCTCATTTTGCACTTTTCTCAAGCTTCCTGTTAAATCCCACCTGCTTAAGTCCAAATATTGTCCTGAACATCCTGTTCTCAGACATCCTTAATCAAAATGTTTACCTTATCATAAGAACATTTCTCATGCCTACAAACAACAGACAAATTTATAGTTTTTAGTGTTTTGGTTTGTACATTTTAGACATGAAGACAAAATACTCCGAGCCGCACTTAGCAAACATTCCCCAAATTGAACCCGCTCTTAAGTTCATCGTGAATGTAATTTTGATTACTTACTGTCGTACTTTACCACATTTTAGTAACATTTATAACCTATGTTTATAATTTTGCTGTATTCACGCTTCTTCTTTTTAATAATGATATTTCGTATATACACTTACATATTACCATACCTTAAAATGTTCGCCGCCTGAATATCAAAACCAACTTCAATCCCAGAGTTTTTTAATGAGCCTGTTACTTTCATAAATGAATTACATGTAAATGCAATCTTATGAATGAAACAGAACTAAACCAAACCCATCTCTGAAATGTCGGTTGTTGAACTTGTGATTGTAATAAACAATGTGGACCTCAAGGTCGACTGACTTCTTTTCCAGGGTGTACAGCAACACTCACTACACGTAACGGTCTGTAGCAGGAAATGTGGGTTAACATACTCCGAGATAATTTAATTTTAGAATAGGCATTACATTATACAGAGTGAGCCATTTACAATTGTACCCAAACAGAAACACTAAGTGATTTATATATCTCTGAACAAAAAACAGGAAAGAATGTTCACACAGCATGTTGGAAGCTTATCAATCCTGACGGCCATGTTCCGTTTACGAGTTCCCATCGTGACGTTGCCGATGGCATTTTAAGCATTCGTTTTTGGTTGTCTGCTTCTCGTATTGTTTTGATACACGCATTCCTTAATAAAATCCGCATAAAAAGTCAGGCGATGTTTGATTTGTGAGTCCAGATGACCGCAGTTACTTCGACATTATATAAAATGTAGTTTTCTGTTCGGGTATGGTTTTAAATGGATCGCCCTGTATATTTAACAATTAATACTTCGAAAGTACTCATCAATTTATCAACACTTTACATTTCATTTTAGAAAAGCGTTTGCATTAACTACAGCCAACTTCCCTCGAAACCTCTGAAGATGTTTCACTTCCTTTGCTAACCTTTCCAGTCAAAGCGAAGAGGCAATTTCGTTGTCAACATTAGCCTCAAGCAGATACCTCAAAGACAGACGACAATGTGAAGACGAGAGTGAGATTTCGGCTTTCAAAAGTTGGCAATCCAGCTATTACTAATGCACATTCATTGAGCACGTTTATTCTGCATTCCAAGAACCTCCTGAGTTGTCCTGCTGGATTGTTCCTTCTGCCCTTGGTAGTGATGATGAATGGCGTTAAAGTGTCGTTTGTTGAATAGTGTTGTTGCTGTAGTGCCATTTAGCCACATCTACTGTCAGGTAAGTTCGCATTGTGTTAAAATTCGTACGTGCAGAACTACGCATTTAGTAATGAACACTACCGGCTTTCCAAACCTAAAACTAAACTTGCACTGCATTACCTCAACAGGTCTGAAGTATTTCTGTCAATAACTGGCCGACTTCCTTAACTGATGGTAATTTCGTGTATACTCCTTGAATAGGACATATTTCAAGCAGGGCAAGGAGGAGGTTAGCAAGCATGGCATCCTGTTGTGGTAAATTTTAACTGTAGACTCAAGAAACAAGCACTGCCCTAATTCCGGCCGCAATTTCCGATTTCAACTGACGCAGTTATTCATATTCTGGACGTGACGACCTCTTAGAGGGACCATCACTGTGCCACAGGACAGCAGCCACATAACAGGAAATTGGCCGAGGTATGTAGAAACTGCAGATAGCTGATAAATTTTCAAAATCAAAATTGCTTGAAAACAAAGTTTCAGAATTAATAAATTAAATGAATTTAAACTGTATGATTTGAGGTTTTCACAGCGGTGAGTATGAAGATTTCTGTCTTCTGGGTTGTTACGCTGTGTAGTCATCAGTGCGATGATACATCGCCCTGATGACGGAGGCAGTATGACCTTTGAAACATTGGTAAAAAATATACCATACTACACAGCGCAACAACCCAGAAGATAGAAATCTTCGAATTTAAACTGATTTTTCCAGAGTAATTCAGTGACAGTGACTTTCTGGAAGTACTAAAATTTAAAAAAAGATAGAAGAGTAGTGCATAAATCCTTCATCATAAAAAAACAAGTTGCTTCGAAATCTGTCCGTAATCAGTTTTAATTATCTCATGCTGCAGCCTTCCTGGTACCGACTCAGTACTATAGTTTCCTCCAATAGTAAAAATGTATCTATAATATGTCATACTTTTTACTTTTCAGCATATTCGGAGTACGTAGCAGAAACATTTCAGTCAAGGTTCGACTGTTTACACCAGCAGAGAACATGTATGAAATGTGCCAGAATGTTAACCGAAATTTAACGAAGCACGTCACCATTTTCTACAGATCGCGCGTCTTGGTAAGCCGTCACATTCTGAACGGGGCCGTAAACACTCTGATTTTATATCAGATTTGTCTACGCAGGCATGCCTGAGTAAAAACATTCAACTCAGATCAAAAACTGATTCTTTGTTCATACACTGCAGGCTACATGAACTGACACATGTTGTTAAATACAAAAAATTACATTTCATTTAATTATCAAACGCCGCAGTGGAGTGATTAGCACTCATGGTTCGTAATCAAGAGGTTACTGGTTCAAATCTTGGCCCGGAAATCTACTATCCTGATTGAGGTTATTCGCGGTTGTCTTCAGTCACGCCAGGAAAATGCTGGGATAATACTTTAAATTAGGCAACGGTTGGCCTTTGGCAGGTTTTATTTTATTCTTTGGTTAGTTTATGCTCATCCTGAATCTAGTGAATGTCTCAGGTCCCTTACATACACAAGAATTAACATAGAATTCAGTAGTACAAATTTCTGTCTGAGACCCGCCGGCCAATAGCGTGCATTAGTTTCCATGTTGATTACCTTGAAGTTGAATGAGAGGGATATTTACAAAGTAATGAAAAACCAGTTTTATTTGGAATGTAGTGGCTCCAAAATGACGACGCAAACAGTATGGCAGAAGATGTTCGTGTATGTTGTAGCCGCTGTAGACAAATTTCTAAACTTAAAATACTAAATTCTTAAAAAAAATCTTAAACCAGATTCGCATGTTCAAATGAGATATACACCCCGAGACGTTGTTGAAATTTCAGGAGATCGTGCAAAACTTCGCCAAGCTTAAAAAAAGTTCGGTAATTTTATAACTTTTATTTTCCTTTAGTTGCTCCTTTCCACCAGCTACACTACTTATTTGTAACATTCGGCCAAATTTGTAATCACATCTTTTCAGTGTTTTTAAAGAAATTTTTAAATTCATGTAGCGTTGTATCTTCCTTCAATCACAGGGAAGTCTTTACGCAATGTTTTGATATATCTGTATTGCAGCAAACTTAAGACTACCACTGTAACATATCGAATTTGACATTCTCCCCAGATGTTCTTCGTTATCATGTCTTCTGCTGACAGTCAGCAAGCAGTATCTACCTCGACTAACGTCTCCGGCAACTTCCGTTCCATGGCGAATTCCAAAGCTTTCGACAACAGAAGACTTCAAGGCAATGAAACAACTGAAATATGCAATTTATCAAGAGCCCTTCGAGTCCCCAACTGTAGCCTTGCCAGTTCATCACCCAAGAAACATCAGAGCTCGGTGCAACAAAAGAAATGCAACACATTGCCGAATGACAAACATGGAGACCCACAATTTCAGGACTGTGGTCTCAATGACATGGTTGAAACAGCATTTAATTCCACATTCCACTTATTGAGTGCTGATGATACTAAAGGCGTCAGAACTCTCTTCATACACCTTCAAGAGTGCATGAAATCCTGGCGACAGACGTTACCATACAGCAGCAATGAGACCCCTGTCATGTCAACTGGCATTCCGGAAACTAACAACAGCATTCAGACTCTGGATGAAAGGAAAGCATATGTATATATGCTACGTAATGCTGTAACTCTAGCTGTAAACATATCTGCTTTGGAATCATTAGGTTTAAGAACTCGTAATATCAGCACATCATTTATTTTCACGCGTGAATATGATAAAGGAGAAATGGCAGTGGAAGAATTCGACAATTATTTAACACAGCTAGAGTTAGTGGTTCAGTCCATTAATGATTTTAATATGTCATTAGAAAAGTACAATTTGAGTACCGCATGTGAACTGTCCCGGATTAATTACATGCGTCCATTTGGCAAATGGGAACTCGAACTACAGAGTGAAAAGCAGAGGTATCGTGAAGTTCGTGATGTGTTTGCAAAGGTGAAATTACTCGAAGTATTCCGAAGATATGTGGACCCTGTAGTGTACTTTGCCATCCTCGCAGTGGGACTCGTGTGGAACGGCGTTCTTCTATTTATTTTCGCTGTTCATCGACAGCTGTGGACTTCTGCCAACATAATGATATTCAATCTAGCGGTGGGAGATATTCTGTCTATTATTTTAAATCTCCCCTTTTTCTACGTCGCTCACTATCACGTCCAGTATTTTCAAACTAACATGTACGTATGCAAGTTGTATACCACACTCCGCCCTCTGTCTGTTGCCGCCAGCGCACTCTCAGTGGTGGCTCTCAGTATTCTGCGTTACGTTGCGAGCGGTGAGTACCGCGGGGGACGTAAGATGACAAAGCGTTTGCGTACATTTCTATACATTGTAGTTGTCTGGGTTTTGGCAATTGGACTTGCAGCTCCTTACAGCTTCGTCTTGGATTTTACTGCCGGCAAATGCTTCATGTACGGTGACGGATACACAGCCAAGATGGTAGCTCTGTCCGAGTTCGTGTTTTACTGTGTGATTCTCCCTTGCATTATGATATGGTTTAACGTTCTGACTGCGAGGAATCTCAGAGAGAGCACCCGGAATATGGCATTTGCAATGAGACGCGACGGGCAAAATCTAATTCGTAACAGAAGTGCCAAGGTTCTGACAGTTCTGATTGGGGTTTTCCTCATCAGCTACATCCCTCAGCATCTGTGGCGAGTGTTGTACAGATGGCTCGAGCTGGACATCTGGAACGTGCAGTATCGGTGTATTGACAAAGTAACTTACTACACTCTCTTCGCAAATTGTTGTTTCAACCCCATCTCTCTCTATGTGGTTAGCAGAAGATTCAGAAAGCTTTTCAATTACTACTTTATTCACTTATATTATCGCCAGTGTAATAAAAGTTCAGACTCTCATGTGCAACGCCTTCCAAGCTCTTTCATAGTTCATTCCAAAGCAGTGCAGTCCAAATATTAATTTTATCTTATTACTTGCTACACTAACAGGACAAGTGGAAAGTTCTACAATGGAACCTCTCATATAAAATCTTAAAATCTTAATATTATTTTCCATGACATACCAGAACTTTACAGTTAATGACATATAACAGTTTACAGACGAGGCAATTATTTGTAAATATTAATCCCCCAAGCGCCTTCATGCCGTATAGTGGGAAAGCTTTACTTTACTTTATTAGAAGTATAATTATGAAAGCCTGTCTGAATTAAAGCAACATCTATCACTAATGTAGTGAAGAATATTCGTGACAAGTGTGACAAATATTCCTCTTGCAAATGACGACTTGCTCGCTGCTTCGCTGAGATATAATTGTTGTTTATATTTCATAACTTCTTATTTGCAACTGCTCACATTTTATATTCATAACTAAGTTATGTAAATTTGGGGTTTTCTAGTGGGCAGTGCTAAATGATCTAACACAAGAAATTATCTCCAGCTTCATCAATATAAGGAACTAAACTTTAGCTTCAGAAGTTGATGCACTCGTGTGAAATCGAAAACTGCATGATCGTAGAAGGGAAAGTGTGGAAATGATTGTTGTATATTTACAGCTGGAAGGGAAAAATGATATGGAACTGAAATTATCAACTGTGTAAGTATGAAGTATCAGTAACAATAAGTAATTAAATTGATTGTCGTCAACTTTTTGTCTTTTTAGCTATATTGTCATTGTTACAATAGAGTAAGATTGTCTGTGAAACTGGGCCTCTGGTGGGTTCCTTGTCCATTCCGCCGATGATATTATCAGAGAAAATGGAGGAGCAGCGGCGGAATGATATTGACAGGGGAAAGCCGAAGGACTCGAATGCAAACCCGTCCCAGTGCTACTTTGTCCACTGCAAATCCCACATGAACTGACCTGGAGACAAACCCTGGTAGGCGACTAACCGCCTGAGCACGGCCCATTTAAACAACATGCCAATGTGTCCCTAAAATGTTCAAGAAACAAACCAAATTTTAAATAATTTAGTTTTTGAAACATTCATCCTTGAGATGAACACGTTACTTAGGACTAAGTACCCTTCTAGCTACGGCTGTGACACATTCAGTTTCATAGGTAGTAATGCAAAATAATCCCTACGATTTAATAAACTTGCAATAAAAACTATTTCTGTTCGTACGCCAACTGACTGTGTACGAATCAAATTAACGACAGCTTAACAAATTAAAGAAAAAAACAACAAAAGCCCCTTTTGCATTTTATAAGTTGTACCTGTGCTTGCTTAAACAGTTGAGTCCTTCATAAAGATGACGACATGGACGAGAAATTCACTAATTATCATTGAGAAACCTGGAGGGAAAGCAGACGGAATGAAAATACAATGGATATTAAAGAAACAAGATTTGGAGTTGCGGAATGGATTCAGCTAGCTCAGAATATGGCTTTTGTGAGCATGGTAATGAACCTTCGGAGTCCATAAAATGCGGAGAATTTCTTGACATTCTGAGCGACTATCAGCTTCGTATGACATTCGGAGAATTAAGAAATTTAACATTTAAAAATTCTTACGGAAATGATAAAACCCTCGCGAAGGCATTCAGCGTGCAAGAGGACGTACTGCTAGCGATCCCTGGTACAGAGCCTCCGGGGTTAAGAAAATAACTTACAGGGCTGTTCCTCCCAAAGCAGCCATCAACATCAAGCAAATATGAACATGGGTGGCGTCTCTGGCCGCACAATTGCTACATACAGTAAAAATTCTGTCATAAAATTGTACATTTTCACAAGATTTTCTGGCGAAATCCATAAAAAGGCAAGTTTCATGACAAGACAAAAATATGAGTCATTCATATTTATTTTTCTGTACGAGTCACTACAGGCCCTGACATCCGTGACGGAAATAAACTGAGAGGAAACAGGAAGTCATCGCAGTTACTCATTCACCGAATCGAGTGATGCACAGAACCGAGAGCAGACGCGGACTGGATACGGAATTAGGCAGTGTTGATCGCTGTCTTTGGTGTTGTGACGCCGTACAGTCTGAAGTGATTCATTTAGAAAGGATTACTAAGAGCATCTGGCAAGCGTCATATGGGCAATAAGCTCTACAAGGTGCAGTTCACCACTTCCCACTGCAGAACTGATATTCTACAATTCAGAGCTTCGTCATCAATATGGTTGCATATTCAGCAACTAATTAAACAATATCACTAATAATTGCTCACGGACAACACTAACTGCGCTTATAAACAGACTAAACTTCTTTTACTAGTGTTGAGGCTTATTCTGTACCAAATCTCCTCAGCGGAATCTAACGATATACTAACTAACTAACTAACTAACTAGATGGCTTACCGAACCCGAAGGTTCATCACCGAATTAACCAAAGCCCTCCACCAGACCCTGTCCTGGGCCAACAAAATCAAGTTTCCTTCGACTCCTATCTCCCATAGATCCCGCCTGAGATTATCCTCCCATCTACGTCTAGGTCTCCCCAGCGGTCTCTTCCCTTCAGGTTTCCCAACCAGTACCCGGTGCACACCTCTTGTCCCATCCATGCGCGCTACATGCCCCGCCCATCTCACTCTTCTCGACTTAATCACCCTCACAATACTGGGGGAGCAGTACAGATTTTAAGCTAGTCATTGTGCAGTTTTCTCCACGCCCCATCGTCTTCCCTCTTAGGCCCAAATATCCTCCCCAACACCCGATTCTCAAACACCTGCAATCTGTGTTCCTCCCTCTGAGGGAGAGACCATGTTTCGCACCCATACAAAACAGCAGGCAAGATTATTGTTCTGTATACTGCTTTTGATTTTTTAGTGTCAGGTCGTTATCGATACATTTATTCACACTAAACAAAGAATCTTTTTTTTAAAAATTACCAAGGGACAAAAATATTACTAATTAACAAACAAAGTGTCAGAGACTAATTAGATTAGTGTTCTCAAAATGTGATGACAGGCGTTAAATAAGATATTAATGGACGTTATTTGATGTACTGATCCTCATCTGTAGATACAATATGCGAAAATAATAATAAAAACGGACCCAAAATATCGATGCGACCTACTAGATATTACTAAAATTTTCAACTAACATTAATTATGAGAAAGTAATGAATGTCTCAGATACATATTTACCTACTCGAATTTTGCTACAGGTTTCATTTAAGCACATTTTTATTAGACTCACTAGCTTCTTTGGTATACCAAATTCAATAAGAATATTATATAACACTTCTCTCTTCACAGAGTCATAGGCTTTTTGAAATCTATAAATAACTGTAACGATATACACCCCTTACAAATCATTCCGATGATGAAGGCAATACGTTCCTCTCAAACTGCAGTCAATATCTACATGGTGTTACAACCCAAAGGATAGCCATTTTTAACAATGCATAGTCCTTAAAATAACTACATAAAACTAATTTCTGAAGCGAGTTAATGAATAAAACCCATAAAAAATGTGATTTATTCTGTGTTTTAAAGAAAGCAGAACACTTCATTCATGATATTGTTGTAATATATATTAAATTTGAAGACTTTCTTTACACATATCGCCGACTAAATTACTTCTTAAATATATGCTAATTACATTTCTATAACCAATAACATGCATTAAAATTCTTATAAAATCTTATTATTTTCAAATAAGTATCAAATACTTTCCTTCTGTATTAGTTACTATCACATTACTCAAATTCTTGATAATTATCAGTCTACTTGTTAAAGGATAAACTGTTCGCTAATTTCTCCTAGGGAACCCACAGTGGCCTAGACAGTCATATGTCAATAATTTCTATCGTTTACATGCTGACATTAAATTCCCAAGAAGAAAGGAATATAATTTTCACATTGCTATTGGCCTTTGATACCAAAACGAAAGCTGCAGCTTACTGAGACGTAGTAATTTCCACACTCCAGCTGTGCTGGCTCTGTGTCGATTAACAACAACACTCAACTCTGACACTATTAAAAGATAACTTGTTGCTGATTGCACAGGAAAAATAAGTTCGCGCTGAGGAACTCAAAAAGACGCAAGGCCATCGTTCAGGTAAGCAATAACAGAGAATTCAATGTAAAGTGAGGGACAGAACAATGCAATTTGTATGCCCAATGAATAATTTTCAAACACGAAATAACAGTGAAATAACAGAAATCACGTATCATTAGAAGTTTGGCACAATGGTTACAGAAAACTGTTCACTCGACTAGCAAAAACGAGTTATATTAACCCTAGTCTCAAAATAAGTTCTGCCTACAATATTTGCACATTGTGCTTGTAGGAACGCTACGGAGAAGATTTGTACGCATAATTTTGATTTCAAAAACACTGTGATAGTTCACGTGTTACATTCATTGAATCGTATTTTTCCGATACCGCCGCCATGATGATGTGATGAAACATTATTTATCGAAGATCTGTCGTAACGCAGAAGTGCAAAGATCTTGGATACTTTAAAACATCTTAAAATGCTGATTACCAGCGGAGTGACCTTCACAAGGAAACCCGTATATCAAGGCAGAAAATTTTAAGATTGTGACTATTTTATGACATACTGTGAAGTTTTTCTGTTGGGCTTCATCCAAATGCCTTTCAAACCACTTGTTTCGGAAGTCGGTTCTACTTCCTTCCTCATTTGATGAGCGGGAGAATAAAAGTCTATTGTGTTGGGTCCCTAGTTCATATTTAAAACTAGCTCGATCATTCAAGACAAATCCTCGAGCTATACAGTCTCAGCCACTGAAAAAAGTGTCGTTAAATAACTATAAATAAATAAGTGACAGTTCCGTCAGGTTACTTAGATATGGATTAAACCGAATAGGAAACAGTCATATTTGTTCTCTTTTTTTCAAAATTAAGTGAGCGATCGCTCTGATTATGGAAGCAGCAAGGACTTCCGAAACATCGGTAAACTTCTACGAGACTGTACGTCGCAACAACCCAGAAGACAGCCATCTTCAGTCACATCTGATGTCTGACATCCAACAAAAATACACATACAGACTGAAAAATCACTACATACGTAACCGCACATGCACTTTGAAATGCATCTCTGAATATATTCCATCACATATATAACTTACATTACATATATGCCTACTATGAACCTGCGGCTAAATAAAAAGGAGTGACCTTAACGTTTGTTTGAGCAGATATTATACATTTATTTTCTGTTCTAGTCTCCAAGAGCAGCCATGAAATATTCTGGATTCATCGTCGTGTTTAAGCTTTATATTTTCGGGTCCGTTGCTTCTGAGTTTGATCCTATAGTCCACATTCATGAAGGCTTCATCAGGGGAACAACTCTCTCTTCGATCCGCAGTAACCTAACATTCTTCGCCTTCATGGGAATACCCTATGCCAGACCTCCTATAGGAGAACTTAGGTTCAAGGTACGAATAGTTATTTTGCAAGCAATATATATAATGGGATCAGATTCCTTCTTCATATGATAACACTAGCTCAACTAATCATGAATTTCCCCGTCTCTTAGGCAAATCGAATGCTCATTACCGTCTTCTGAGTAACCTGTCAACTGGGGTCTATCCTGAGCTACACGAATAGAGCTCATATCCTGTTCCTTCAATACAGACTTTAACATAATCTTTTTACCTACGCTTTTCTTTACCAAATGATCTCTTCCTTTAAGATTTTCGGAGCAAAGTTTCTACCATGCGTGCTACATTCCTCGCGCATCTCATGTATTTAATATCCCCACTAATAGTGAATAATACAACTTTTAAAGATGCTCATTATGCAGTATTTTGAATCCCCGTTTCACATCACTTTTCTCGTTAACAAAAATTCTCCTCGGCGCCTTTTTTCTAGTTCCACTGACCAAA